TGTCACCAACTCATTAGAAAAATGGAACTCAACCGAGAAAATTTTCGCGCCATAATTTGTTACAACTTTCAGAAACAATTATCGCAACAAGAATGCCTTGCTGAGTTACTGTCTGTTTTCGGCAACGAAGCGCCACATCAGTCGACAATTTCCCGTTGGTTTGGAGAATTCAAACGTGGACGGGTGAGTCTTAGCGACGATCCCAGGGTGGCTGCATCAAAAACGGCAGTCACCCAGGAAAACGTCGATGCTGTGCGCAAACTCATCATTGAAGATAGACATGTGACATATCGCGAGATTGAGGCGTCCTTGAAGATCTCGGAGACCTCAATTTAAAAAAAAATTACATGGAGAATTAGGAGTAAGAAAATTAGTTTCCAGTTGGATACCCCACCTGTTGACTGAAGAGCAGAAAGCAGCCAGGGTCAATTGTTGTCAAAAAACGCTTAACCGTTTCAATTCCGGAAACTCAAAAAATGTGTACAGCATTGTTAGTGGTGATGAATCGTGGATATACTGTTATGAATCAGAAAATAAACGACAGTCGGCTGTTTGAGTGTTTCAAGGTGAAGAAAAGCCAACAAAAGTTATCCGTTCTCGAAGTGTTTCGAAACGCGACATTTGTGTCAAAAGCGGGTCATATTGCAACAATTCCTCTTAATGAGCAAAGAACTGTTACTGCGGATTGGTATACCACCATTTGTTTGACAAAAGTCATCACCGAGCTTCGAAAAATCAACCCCGAAAGAAGAATCATCCTCCACCAAGACAATGCAAGCTCGCACACAGCCCAAAAAACAAAGCAGTATTTCACGGAAGAAAACGTGGAATTATTGGACCATCCTCCATATAGTCCCGATCTAAGTCCTAACAATTTCTTTACTTTCCCGAAAATTAAAAACTGACTGCGGGGTCAAAGGTTCCAGTCACCAGAAGAAGCAGTTGACGCATTCAAAAATGCCGTTTTGGATCTGCTAGCAAACGAGTGGAATAAGTGCTTCCAAAATTGGTTCGAGCGCATGCAGATGTGTATTAATCTTCCTGGAGAATACTTCGAAAAACAATAAAGTCATTTAAAACTACATACCGTGTTGTTTTATTTCCATATGCAAAACTTGCATATGCATCCCTCGTACTAGGAAATCATCGTATCTAAGCACATCGGTATTTGAACAATATTAAAGTGAAAAAAAAAACCGAAGTTTGAGCGATTTTTTTTGGGTTTTGGGCCTTTTGCTCCGCCGCCACTGGAACGATTTCCAAAAAAGAATGTTGGAGCTAGAAATACAGGGTGCATTTGATAAATACTGCCGTGATCAGTCAGTTGACCCCAGTTTCATTTATAACACAAACCGTAGACAGAACGAAAAAATGGCGTTAAGTAGTCACTCTGCATTTCCTATGTAAGTTGAACTCTCTGAGAAAAAAGTTAGCTACGAACATGTATAGCAACAAAAGGATCAAGTTAGTCAAACAGACTCATGCAATTGAAAGTTGCATATTTATCATGTTTTTTTTATTCTTACTATTATTAATATAACAAAATAGAGATGAAGAGAGTACAATACTATAAGGAAAAGGAAAACGTGGTATATAGATAAGTAGTGTAAAACACATAAAATAAATACTATAAGTTCATAGCTATAAAGTTTTTTCACTGTTCCACCTATAATAATACACTTTGAAGCTATTCACTGACGTAGCATTAACTGTTCTAAGTGCTGAAAACGCGATTGGGGAGAATTGTCGTTCTAAATGGCTGCTTTCCAGAGAAAAGGAAAATCGTTCAGCTTCAACATTAGCAAACCCGGCCAATAGGCATTGATTTAGCATTCACACATAGGAGCTTGCCTGTGTTGGCCTCTATGTCTGAACTGAGGAAAGTAGCCTATTATCGGATACTTTTTCCTTTTAGGCAACAAAAAATAGTTAATATCTACCTAGAACGCTAACATGATGGGAATTATTTACATAATATGTCTTCTTGTATAATTTGAAAGCAGATCCCTCTAATTCATAATTTTTTTTCGCAAATCACAAATAATCATTGGATTGCAAAAAGTATTCTTTTAAAATTGGATTCCCAATATCGGATAGTAGGTGTTTCTAATATCCCACATGCCCGATATTAGGAACTGAAAGGTTTGAAAAAGGCCAAAGGAATTTATTTTCATGTTTTGTTAAGTTAATACCAAGGAGTAAAATAACTTAACAAAATGAGAAAAACTGGTAATAAATCTCAACAAATTTTATAAAATGGGTAATGAATACAAACAATTAAAAAAAAATAAAAGCTGAATTATTGTCGGTCCCCACGCATTCTTCATGAGACCAACGGAAACATTGATTACATCCTATCGATTCTTCCCTTCTTGTGTCATTATAAATAATAAAAATTGTTACAGTATAGACACTCAGCGTCTTCATCATCTCTATCCATATCATCATCACTGTCAATTAATTGCTTAGTTGCACTTCTGTTTCGGTATCTTCACTAGAAGAGCTTAAAGATCACTTAGCTATTTTCTGTTTTTCCCTTTCGATTGATATTGTCATTTCTTTTCTTCTTAATTCCAGTTTTTTTATTTTTATTTTGACCGGTTAATAATATCGGATATGCGATATTAAGGAGCCAAACTGTCCGATATTACGGCACACAACCTCACTAAATTCATTATCTTGTTTTACGGAGAAGAAATGCATTTGTCCTATGTATTTAGTATTAGATAATAGTCTGAAATCTATTTGATCCGTTGGTATATAATAAACAAAATAACAAATGTACCTTTTGGAAATATAACGTCACTAGTTACGGAGAGTTAAAACATTCACACGTCACAAATATGTACATCAGCAGAATGGCGCACTCAACTAAATTATAGGGGTCTGCGATTTTAGTAAAAATGTTCTTCATCATTGCATACAAAAGTTCAAAGATGACGCTGCCTGAGAAAAGATATGTAGCGATATCCGATATTAGGAACCAATTCGGTATTATGCTACTTTCCTGTATATCAATTTTTTCTCTGCAAATCGATCGACGTCAATTTAAAGCGGAATTTTTGAAAAAATATTCAAAATTGGTCCCCTTTAGGGTATCTTGGGAACTGAAGGATTAATCCATGCTCAGGGCGACTATATTATTCTCAAAAAAAAAAAAACCTGAAGCTCTAGGAACTAGATAATACCTTAAGCCCTGAATTGCCGCTATCCTTATTGGATGTTCTTTTTCCAAAACGTAGTACTGTCGCAAGAAATATTTAACCAGACTTTATTACTAGCGTTGCTTGAGTTGTCACAATTAATTTACTAAATGGTTAGTTTTCTATCGCACACTTCAAAACTCTCATTGTGTACGTTTAGATAAGGTCAATGTCTATCGCGAAAGGAAGGTCGCGTAATCCTAAATTGCTATTATGTTGAAAACACCTTCCGACAACACGTGTTAAAACTGAAATATACATATGTTATAGTTATAAATATTAAGAACTTTTCGACGATTTTTTTTACACAGACACTTTTAAGTAGTGATATAGATATTACTTTTGCAATTTAATAATGTTTAGTTCAAATAGTTAATAAACTGTCTCTTTGCAAAAATTGATTGCATCCTCAAACCTACGTACTACGTAGATACATATAACGTTAACATAGTATATTTTTATTTCTCGACTAGTGTGCGATATCGTATGCATCCGAATAAAGGAAGTGGTGTTTTTCGATCATACTGTATAGACGCAATTAAGCAAGGTTATATTTCAATAGGCTACCGTTTTAGAATACTAATTGCACATACGTACGATGTGTAAAAAATAATGCCTAGGCTGTCGATGTTATGAAAACATTAACTCTGGTCAATGCTGAACGATGTGTTTTTACTTTGACAAAAATTCCGAAACTTCGACGAGTTCTCAAAGCTGTTTCGAAACGGAAGTGATTATATCCAAATTTGTAAATCCATTAAATCTCTCGCTTAACTTGAAATTGTCTGCGTCATTTTTACTGTAATTACTTCAGTAAACATCTATACATATAAAAATACATTAGAATCTAGAATATAGATCTATTCAGCCGTGTGAATTGTTAAAAAATATCCTTCTAAAATTGCTGTCCTCTTGACGTTTATTTTACGCTTTCCTCAGAGCTTAAAATATGAAAAATACATTTAAAAATCAAATAATGGACTCAAAAAGTATACCAATACGTAAAAACAATATTACGAACAAACGGAAACAATGGTTATGAACATATGTACAGGGTGTTAATAAAATATGTAGACAAACTTTAACCATCGATTCCTCGGGCAATTTCAAGACGAAATTTCCATATGAAAATGGGTCCGCAACGGTTTTGTTTTCAAGCTAGAGCATATTAGCACTGAAAGAAATGATGATATGGTTCTAAAAAAATATAGATACGGATAATGGTTATCCAGTATTTTTTGAAAAAATAGCATGACTATTTAAGCATTGTGCTTATCTAGACACCTATGACGTACCCGAAAACAATTGAAATAATTTATTTTCTCAAATAATTCGACAGCTGTCAAATATTTGTTTTCTTGTCTGGTCATTCTAAGATTCTAAATATTTCTAACTTTTGGTGATTACCTACTAATTATCATAATGGTCGAGTTCAGTAATCAAGAAATGACAGATATGCATTTCGTTTACGGAATGGCTCTGGGTAACGCTCGACGAGCACGACGTTTGTATGATTCACGACGCCCGCTGCCTAATGTAAAAACTTTCATCAAGGCAGTTTCAAGAGATACACACATGTTGCAGGAAGACCCGCAAGTGTGAGAACCATCCAAATCGAAGAAGCTGTGCTTAATAGAATCGAAAAGGACCCTACAACCAATCCAAGAAAAATTGCGCTAAATTTAAATCATGTAACGGTATGGCAAATTTTGAAAGATCAGCAACTTTATCCATATCATATACAAGTGTACCGTTGTTTTTGCCTCGATATTTGCCTATAAGATTTAATTTTTGCAGCTGGTTACGTGAAAAAGTAACATTAAATCACACTTCTTTGAATCAAATACTATTATATACTCCAAAGTACTTGTTGTCGATTTGTATTTAATCTCAAGAAGTATGATCATGTTTCCTTAAAGAGATTTCAGCTTGGTTGGATGTGTATAGAAAATGCATGCAAGTGTTTACACATAAGATCACATCTTCTCGCTCCCCCTTGTATCTTTATGCGAAATTTGTTTTCAGACGAAGTAATTCAGACATTGATTTCAGACACAAAAAAAGACTAGAGATCCCTATGTATAAAACAACTTTATTTCGTAGTTCATACACTTACAGGCTATCCTGATTTATAACGAATTAGATGACAATATAAAGGATTGGCCAGTAAACAGATTTCGTAAGCATGTGAAACAGATTTATTTGTCATTGTAGTAATTGTGGAAAAGTATATATGTATAGGTGTATGTATGTCAGCCAGCTATCAAGTTCGTTTGTTTTGAAGCGTCTTTAGTTGCTTGTCAAAGTTTCCTTTGATTAAGCGTTTCAATTTATTATTTGGGTAGGTTAAGTAGAGTAGCCAAGAGCTAGACTTCGCCTACGTAGAGGTCACATTATATTGTAGTTTTTATAATGTGCCTAATAAAGACATTTTATTATTATTATTATTATTCACGGATGAAGCATATTTTTCGCGATCAGCAATGAATTTCCATAATAACCATGTATGGTGTGAAGAAAATCCTTATGCGATAATTGAACATAATACGCAACACGACTTTTCCTTCAATATTTGGATGGAATCGTTAGTGACCACTCGATTGGCCCTAATTTCCTTCACCCCAAACTTAGTGGCGAAGAGTACCGAAGATGTTTGGAATTTTACCTACCTGGATTAATGAAGGAAATTCCTCTTAGAGAACGACGTCGCATGTGGTACATACATGACGGTGCTCCGCCACACTTCAGTGTCGTTGCGCGAGAATACCTAGATAATAATTATCCAAATTAATAGATCGCCTGACATGAATCCTATCGATTTCTTTTTATCGGGACATTTGAAATTATTAGTATGGAAGACTCCTGTTCAAAGCGTGGAGGACTTAAGAGTGAGAATTGTCGAGTCATGTCTGACTATACAAAATATTTACAGGAGAGTTCGTCAGTCAATGTGTAACAGACTAGACGCCTGTACTGAAGTCGAAAGTGGCCACTTTGAACATTTATTGTAAAAAAAAACTATTCCATATTTTCTGTTGTTGTCGTTCTATTCGCATGTTACTGTTCAAAACTATTGACCTATTCCAACAATATAGGATAATACAATTTTCATCCACGTTTATATTGAGCCTCAGCAACTTGTAAAACATGCAAAATTTATCAACTGTTCATCATTCATAGAAATATTTGGAATATTACTCGTATTTCTTTAGTGATAGTGCTCTAGCTCGAAAAGAAAGCCGTTACGGACTCATGTTCATATGAACATTTAGTCTTTAAATTGACCAAGGAATCGATGGTTAAAGTTTGTCTACATACTTTATTAACAGCCTGTATATGAAAATAACTATGACATGATTTTATACAGAACTGCAAAAATTTCAGCGTTGCTCCAAAAGGCGGCTGCCACCTTTGCCTTTCTACGTCTCATATCGGTATTGTACAGAGTGTTTTTGACAAAACAGGGTCGGGTTCCTATTGATGTACTTCTGTATCACCTTACTGATCACATAATGCAGACCTATAGGCATGTAGTTGTGTTAGGGTCGATCATCAATCCTTTTCTTGCGACAGGCTGAATATATGCAAACCTCTAGTCGTCTTGGAAGGCGTTGGGGTCGTACATTATCTGAAAAATATGTGGAACGATAAAAGCAAGCTGCAATTTCTTCAAAACAAGTCCAGAAATCGTCTTATGTAGCATGATTCATTCCGTTTTATTACATGTATTCCTTGACATTTTGGTCATTATCGAATTCACGCTGTTATGCGTTATTTACTCCATTGTGTTTAATTAGACTCCGAAATGATTATTGGTGAAAATTCTTCAAATGAAGCAACAGTAACACTAATTGCCCACCTTGTCAATTGCCAAATATTACTTATAGGAATCTTCCGTTCATCGAATAAAATCACTTTTTAATCACTCTCGCTTTTAAACTGGTTCCTAAATCTGAACCATAATATACGAGGAGCGTCCAATGACTACTTTCGCGTCCTAGAAAAGCGTTTCTGTAGAATATTGGGTTGTACTTGACCTCAATCGGGTTGTTGTCGGACCAAAGGCGTGGGTCCAGAAGTTACCTTGCCGTGTAGGTCACCAGAAGAATCTGTTTTGCTCGAGCTGATGTTATTGACGTCGTAGGTTACAAGAAGAACGCGATCAATTACACGACAAGTTGAGTGAAATTACATACACTATTAGAAAGTGGAAGAGGAATGAGTTAGAATTGCTCCATGAGCTATCTTCAATATTTATCAATCGACCGGAGTTGAATGCTCTTTGCCTACTACGAGCCCCTTCCCACTTCAGTTGGCCCAACTATTTAAATCTTAGTTTTTTCTTATCAATCACAAATAATAAAAATGTAGCAGGGTGTTATAGGTTCAAAATATTAACAATGAATATTTTGATAATATATAGTAGAAAACACCAACTTTATCACTCCCTAATCAATTTTGCAGCATAAAAACAACACATGTTGCAATTACAGCATATCAACCTATTTTCATTTCAATGCAAAATAAGTCTATAACGCATAGGTGGCTGTGAAAAATAAAAGCCATGACAATTGTTTTTATTAATCACAGCTGTCAAAATACGTTTAAAATAGTTTTGGGTAGTTAAGGTTTTCAAAATGGGTAGAGGAAAGGTTATTAGTGAGAAAATTCGGTTACTGATAATTAAATTTTTTAATTCTGGGAAATCAAACACAGAAATTGCAACTTTGTTAGACTTATCGCGGTACAGTGTGAGAAATATTGTTAGAAGATATAACGTAACTGGTTCAGTTAATATTACGCCACGATATGTGAAAAAAGTAATATCACAAATGCCGACCGAAGAGCATTAAGAAGAATAATCGTGAAAAACAGGCGTGCCAATTATTTACAATTAAGTGCTCGCAAAAAAATGAGGCATTCCATATTGATTGTCTGAAGAGAAAAGTGAAATTTCTAGCATCCATTATGGTCTGGGGCAGTATGTCATCAAAAGGAGTAGGAAAACTTCATTTTATTGATGGAAATGTGGATACAAACAAATATTTGGCAATTTTAGAAGAATCGCTTTTAGCAGTGATGGAAGAATGTTTGACATCCGGCTAAGATTTTGTGTTTCAGCAAGATGGTGCAGCATGCCATACCTCAAAAAAGCCTATAAAATGGAAGGAAGAAAATAATGTACCACTTTTGAAATGGGTTTCTAGCAGTCCAGATCTGTCACCTATTGAAACTTTGTGGCACGAGATGAAAAAGGTTCTACGACAACATCCTGCTCGTACAATCACCGAACTGAGACAAAAGCTTCAAGAAATTTGGGATTGTTTTACACCAAATTTTTGCCAAAACTTGGTTAACACTATGCCTCAAAGAATTTCAGCCGTAATAAAAAATAAAGGTGATGTTACCCAATTGTTACTTTGTTAACTTCGTTCATTTATTCGCACATTGTTTATTTGTTCAGATGTTCTATTAGTTATAGGTCTAAGTGATTTCAAATATGTATTTTTTAAGACTAGAGTGTATCCAAAATCTTTTTGAGAAAATAAATTGTTTTAGAAGTAAATACTTTCGTCATGTTTAGTTTATAAAGGCATATTTTGCTACAAAACTGAAGTGGGAAGGGGTTCGTAGTTTGCTAAAAGTAGTCTAAACTATAATCCACAAGTACAATTTAGCCTTGACAAAAAAAGGCTTCAAGTAGAACGCTCTGCACTCCCTACGCAACACCGTCATCAGCTCACAAATGGTTCAACACAGTTTAAATCATCTGAGAAAAGTCAGTTACGAACAGCTACAACAGAGAAATTAAATGGATTCAGTCAAACAGGCCCATACAATTAGTCCATAGACATTCTTTCCCTGTCCTGTCAGTAATTACTGTACCTACATCTGGCAACGTTGTCCCTTTTCAAATCTGCGCGGCATCGCTGCAGCGATTTTGTGCATGGTGCGTGTATGCTTTTTGCAGTTCGGATAGAGTAGTCAGCGTATCCGGTTAACCGGGAGCTGAGCTCAGATAGCAGGAATAAGCGGAACGAAAACATTTTTCGGCCATTCCAAATTGTGTGAAATATGGCTAACCGGGGTTGGGAGCAGATAAATATAGTAAGGTCAAAACATTTTCGTATACCTCTCCACTCCCTATAGAATCCCCAGAAACATTTTTCTGATAATGGTCAGGAACATCTCAAACCACAAAAAACGGAGTTTGGGCGCATTTATTCTTTCCGGTTTTGGATTTTTTCTCCGCCACTGGGCCGATTTTCAAAAACTACAAAGTTTTCTCGTCCCTGCCATAGTAGCAGACTTTTGTTAAAATTTCATCAAAATCTTAGCGCTAATTCTCAAGTTATAGACGTACCAAGGATTAGCGGACAGACAGACTGACATCCAAAAAAATATTATCTCATTTTCGAAATTTTTCGCGATTACAATACATCTCGCTCTGTGGCGTAGGAAGTAAAACTAAAATCAAGAGTAAAGTTTCAGACTAGTGAGACACTGATTATGGTATAAAGGCTGGGAGGTGGAGTGACATATATTGAAGATGGCGTCCTGATTTGTAAGCGATCCCTTTGGAGCATCCAAAGGGGACATAATGTTTAATAGTTGAATATACTACGCCTAGCATGTTTTGGCACGCATCAACATTTAGAATGAAACAGACATGCTATCGACGCCGCAGTGAATCAAAAGTCCTAAAATATGGCGAAAATTAGAAAGATTTTCTAAATTTCACCAAAAAAATCCATTTCTACGTTTTCCAGATCGATGATAACGAATATGATATCCATTTGTCAAACACCAAAATGGG